GGAAAATGAAGAAAAAAAAGGCATATTTTGAGTGCCTTACACTTGAGGCAATGCGATGAAGAATTATCTGGGCTTTAGAACGGACAAATAACTTAAATATTTGAAAAGTTATTAAACTTTTTTTAAAAAATCGCCAATTTGGTTACATTTTTGCCCCTAGATGAAAATTATCAAAATCATTGCCTTATTCTCAGGTTTTGCAAATTTTTATACGCCCAAGTAATACAGCTTTGGAGTAAGTTTTAAAATATTTAAAAATTAGACTACAAACTTTTTTCATTTTCACTAAACTGAGGCTTTTATTTTCACAAAACATAGGCTTTTTCTCTCCTCAAAACTGAGGTATATTAAAGTTTTGCTCCATTTTCAAAATAAGCGTAGACAGCACTGGCTTTAGATATGCTAGACTTGGCCTAACAGTCAAGAGTAACAGTTGCAAACTCATAACAGAACAGTTATAAAAATAGCATATTATTCATAAAAAAGCATCATTTCATATTACGACGAAAAACAGCCGAACAGTCGATAAACAGCTTTAAAGAAAACCATCATTCGGTTTATTTTGCTAATTTTCGGCTCATGTATTATACGCCAAAAAAGAAATTTATAGCTAGGCTAGATTCAGTGAATGAATAGGACTTTCGCGCCGATCATTTAGGGTTCCATAGTTCCAAAAATTTAAGAGTTTTTTGGTGTTTCTATAGAGCTAGAAATTTTGTAAATTTTACTATATTCTTTTAGCTTATATATTTTTTTAATAATTATAAAAGGTTCATTAAAAGCAGATTTTTGAATTGATAAAAAGAAGTTCATTGCAAAAAGTTTGTTAAAAGCTTATTAAAAAAAATATGTATACTTTTTTCGAAACAGATTTTAAAGCAAAACACATTTTGAAATATTAACTGGATGGAATCAAGAATTAATGTTTTTAAAAATCTATTTTTAAATAAATATAAAATTATAAACTTGTTTAAAATTTACTTTGAAATGAATAAAAATGTTTATTTTAAAGTATAATTTTCAATGATTATACTCGATTTTAAAATAAGTGGTTAGCTCAAAAGTGGTTAATTTTAAGTACTACTTTTAAATTAATAAAGTGGATTTTATTTTTTTAAATTCTTTAATTTTATATTCATTAGTACTTTTTATATTCATTTTTAAATGAATGCACGCCGAGAAAAAAAAGTATGGTTAAAGGTAAAATTTATCGTGCTTCTGGCTGCATGGGAGCACCAAAATGCTCGGTAATTTTTACAGAAGCACTTTGGTAATGATTTTGGTAAAATAAGCAATAAAATATTGCTATATAATATGTTATAAAATTTTGTAAATTTATCAGAATGCCTTAAAGCATGCAATAAAATCTGTCTATTCGACTAAATTTACTTTTCCGTTTTGTATTTTTTACTAAATGCGTGATAATAAGGACTATAATTTCAAAAACCATAACTTCCGGTATACCATTACCATAAGAACGAAAAAATAGTTTTAATACAGTTTATTTTGGTTTTATTTACCAGAACTATGGTTTATTTATTTATTTTTTGTTTTTTGAAGAAATGTCATTGTCATACAGGGCGGTTATTTTACCGGAATTTTTTTCGCCATGTAAAAAGTTTTTTATGGTACATTTTTAAAATCTAAATGATTACTTTTAAATTATTAACGAAGTTTTTTCCGAAGTATACTTTTTAATGTTTATGAAAAGTTCATCTTTTTTTGAAAAAGTTAATGAAAAGTTTTTGCTTAAATTAATGTTAAAAGATTTTTGAAAGTTTATTTTTCAAAAAAAAATTTTTTTTTTTAATTAGAAATTTATTGTATAAAAGAATGATTGGCAGTAAAATAGTCAATTGCACTTATTTTTTATCAATTTTGTACAATCATTATTTGTTAAGCAAAATAGCTGATATTTTTTAAAATCTATTTCAGGAACACTTTTGACAATTACTTAACTTTCATATACTTCTTGAAATTAAAAAACGGTCTTTTTTAATTTATACGTTCTAATAAATGTTCCTTTTTAAATAGAAAAAAATGGGACATAAATAACGAATCACTTAAAATTTTTATAGATGATAGAAAATAAATAAAAGTTCAATTCTTTCCTGATACAGGTAATTTCTTAGCTGTAGCGTTGTATAAAAATTAGAAGTTTAAGTCAATTCTGATTCAAGAGTATCCTTATATCTTAACGTGGATGAAAAAAAAAATTACGTAAGTTCATCTTGATGCCAGCATGTNTTTTTTTTTTTTTTTTTTTTTTTTTTTTTTTTTTTTTTGTCATTTCATATAATAAAAATTAAAAGTTAAAGTTATTCTTGATTTAAGTAGTTCATAAGCTATTGCATCGGAAGAAAAATTTGTAAATTGTAATGAACTCCGATTTAAACCTTAGCTTTTGAAAAACTAATTTAATGTTTCTCCTGATTCACGTAATCTTTCAGATTACGTGATTATTACGTGATTCGGTTATTACGAGTTCAGGTCAATTCGAATTTAAGAAAATATTTCCATTTTCAAAGCTCGTGAATTGAATAAAAGAATTACGCGTTGTAGTTCATCATGATTCAAGTACATATATTCTTAACTCTATAGCGACAGATACAAGAAATGAAAGTTAAAGTCGAAGTAATTCCTGATTCAAATTATATTCTATTTGAAGCGTTTGATTTTGATTTAAAATAGAATAAAAGTCAAAATTATTTGTAATTCAAATACCATTTTGCTTGATGGTTTAAATCATTGCCGTATTCCCTTTCACTTGTTGGGTTGGATAAAAAATGCAAATTAAAATAAATCCGGATTCAATTGTTTCCTTAGCTCTTGCACTGAAATGGAAATTAAAGTTTAAAAAAATCATGTGTCCCTCTGTTTTCTCATAAGTATGATAACATTTTCAAATTGCACACTCTCTTTCCATCTGCATGGAAGTTAGAATTAAGGTTTAATTCCTTTACTGAATTTCTTATCTACATTCTGCATTTAGCAAACAATTACAAATTAATATCACCTTTGAATTACATTTGATTTTCAAAACTCAATTTTAAAATTATAATTGTTATTATTTGCCAAAAAATATTATTAATTAATAAAAGTTTCTTTTGAATAAGAAACATTACTCCGACATAAAATTCTCAAAGCAATAAAATTTTCAATTATACTTTCAAGAAAAGTATTTAACCTTGGGATTTGAAATTTTTTTTTTTTAATTTTGTTTTCTTTATTTCTTTAAAATTTGATTTTAAAAAAAATTATTAATTTAAAATACTGCAGAATGTAAAATTTATTTTAGATAATTATTAAATTATATTTTATATATAAATATTATTCATGTTTTTTCTCCATCTCACGTAATCCTTAACGATAATTACGAAATTACGATAATTACGAAACGATAATTTTTTAATCAAATTTTAAAATGTATTAAAAAAACTTATTATCAATAGACATCTAATTTTTTAAAATATAATTTTTTAGAAAAAAAAATTTAAGAAAATTATTTACGTTTTTACAAAATATATAATTAAATGACAATTAATATTGCAACTTATGAATGCTTAAATATAAATTTCAGGACAAATTCTAAAGTTTTATTCGATTTTTTAAAGGAAATTCGATTTCCATTATAACTTTATCGATATTGAATATACCTTGTGTACCTTTGAAAGAAGAACCTATCTCTCTCTCTCTCTTTCTCTTTCATTTTCGTCAAAATAAAAAGTTTTATAATTTAATAGTTTATACTTTTTTAATTGCTTTCACTTAAGTTTTTTGAAATATCTGCTTATAAAGTCAAGTAGTAAATTTTGTTTTTCAAATAAAAATCTTAGTGGTAGATCTTGTTGAATGAAATTTTGAAAACACTCAATTTTCCAACAAAAAAAGGTGTTTTTTCTTCTTTTTTTTTCAGAAAAAAAGTAAGGAATTTGCTTTATCAGGTTTTTACAAAAGACGATTTTTGTTATTGCTTCTGTTTTTAGGGACTGAATATGTTAAAAATGAAAAAAAATGACATTTTAAAAGCATTCAATTTTATTGCAGTTAAAAAATATGTTATTTTCATCAGAAAGTATAGAGCATGAATTTACTGCATCAAATCTTTAAGTAAGGCTATTTTCTAAAGAAAAGCTGACTAAGAGACCCTTAAATTTTCTAAAGTGTAATTTTTTGCTTTCTTATTATTATTACTATTTTAAGTTTCTAAGCTACTATTATTATTATTCTAAGCTACTAAGTTTTTAAAATATCGTATTTACCCCTAAATAAAAAATTGAAAGTGAAAATATTTCATAAATAATGCCTGATCGTTTTAATTTATTCCAGAATAAATCTCTGTTTACTTCGACACATACTAAATAATTGTTTAAAATTCGCAGAAGTATTAGACTTAGTCGGAAGGGAGAAAATATCATCCAGACGATGATATATAAATAGTTCTTGATTGTTTTTATTTATACCAAAATAAATCTCTATTTACCACCACAAATGCTTAATAATAGTCTAAAGTTTGGCAGTAAATGATATTTAAATGACTCATGACATATACTGGCTACATGATATATCAGTAATTTCTAATGTAAAATCATCCTCCATAACATTGCATTGTTACTATTTTATAAATGAAATAACTACGTTAATATAGTAGTTATAAAAACATTTACAGAAATTGGCAATTTTAAATTTCGCTTCTTAATTTGTGGGATATGGGGTTCGAAAGATAATTAAAAGAATATTGCACCATTATTTATACATTTCAATTTCATTTAAAGAACTGGCGTCTTGCCAGTATCTAATTTATTTTCATGCATGATAATGTTGCACAAAGCACGTGTCAAGAACAGTTATTACTTCCCAGTTATAAATTTAACTGTTTAAGAAATAGCATGCTTAATTGATTATTAAACTCATTATAATTAAGACAATAGCTATACTTCGTTATTAAAATCTTATTTCAAATAATTAAAGTATTGTTTATGAAATGTTTGTTCACTTACTGAGCGGGGAAGTGGAGAGGGAGTCGCTTTCCAAGGGGGTGTCCCTTTCTGATTCTTCGGAACTTTCTTCGGCCACCGTAGTGGACATCAGAGCATCAATAGAAAAGTCTTTGGCCTTACTAGACATGGCCGCAGAATAAGGACGGCGGTGAAGGAATTGGAAGCCGCTGGACCTTGGTCCCGCGGCGGCGTCCATTGAGTGACGGACCGGTGCCGGGACGACCATAGACCCAGTCTCGTACGCCACCTTAGGCTTAGCTGTGATGCCGATACTTGCCGGACACTTCACCGGGAGACTTACAAATCAATAATTTGACAGATGTCATGTAGGAAATTGTCTCCAATTGTTTTCTTCTTTTTTTTTTCGTTTATGCTTTTATATACTTTTCCAAATTGTTTTTCTTTTATGAAATATTCTTTATTAACTTTCAACAAAACACTAGCTTATATATTCATTATATATACAAATTTATTCTTGCCCAAACTTATTTTACATATCTTCGATACTATTCAAGAACATGTTAAAATTCAGGTAAGAGAAATAAATCATATGTTTCTTCTAATGCTGTCTAAAATTGTTCCTATAATTCTTCAGATAAATTATACAATGTGGTAAAAGATTGGAATAATAAATATTAAGTAATTGTTCAAGGATTGGCAAATATTTTGACATATGGCATGACAATAGTTTCATAGTAGTTGATTTTTAGTGTTGCCATATTTTACATGTGTACAGATTAAATCATTAAAAAAAAGCAAACGATATTGCACAAAACGTGTCAGCAGACGATAATGCTGAAAAATACTAGGTGAAAATTTTCTCCGACTATAAGTCTACCGCAGAGTATAATGAGTGATTTAAAAATCGAAACTTCTCATGGCACATCATTGAAGAGAAGAGAAAACCGCACTCTTCTCAACACAACTTGTTACTCACTCACTTAGCTAGAAGTCCGTTGGGGGGTCGGGCATTTAGTCACATGCACACATAGCGCCACCTTCGTGTTAGTTACACCCAGTCAACACAAATCCAGATCCTGCCCACCTTTTCGCTAAGCGCAAAAATCGCATAAAAAGTAAACAAACGGAAAATATAGCTTCCGACGACATTCTAGAAGAGCTCTATTTCCCTTTTTACTCCAATCACAGACCGCCGCTTCTAGCAACAAAAGATAAAGAGGGGGATGAAAGGGGGGGACCAGTTTAGGGGAGAAAAAAAGAAGAATGAGACATGCACTGTGTATGTTTGTATGTGAGTGCGTGTTGTGTGTCGCAGAAGGAGATGGCACAAGCGGGCGAGATTTCAAACACGACGCAAGAATGGAAGATTTGGAGTTGACGAATGAAATGGACGATGGCGCCACCTACACTTTTTGAAAGAGAGGGATGCTGAATTGACTTCGGAATGACAATTCAGAGTTGATCCGGAGTTATTTTTCGTAAAAAAAATTAGCACAATTATTGATTAAAATGTACTAATTACGTGAATTTTCGTTTTTTAACTTTTTTTAAGATATGAAGAAGATTAACTAACGTGAATATTTTTTATTACTTTTAAATCTTAAATATTTAAAAAAAATTAAATTGAAAGTTTATTTTTTAAAATTTAAGTTTGCATTAATTTAATTAATGTAATGCAATTTAAGGTATCCAAATTTTGAAATTCATTGAAAGATATCACAAATAAGATTTCTCAAATAGTATTTCAAATATTTATAAATTTATTTAGTAATAAATATTTATTTATTTATTTAATTGTTTGTTTATTTTTTGCTGCTTAAAATAAATAAATAAATAAATATTGATTTAACTCATTCATGTACAGTTATTTTCAAATAATATAAAATTTGTGTTATTTTCGGTAATAATTTGGTTAATAATAAATTTTGTTTAATATTTTCAACTTTTTAAGCAGACAGTGTTGTACATCTAAATAAATAAAAAAAAAACTGCTTAGGTCAACAAAAATTAAGATTGGAAAAGGAAAAAATCTCGAATTTGTGTAACAAATCAAGACTAGAATTCTGAATAAACAAGCAAAGACGAAACTGAAATGTGGAAAAAACAGCCCAATGACTGATTTTTTAAGATTATAATTAATAATAACAATAATATCTATAAAATATTTTTAATTAAATGCAAACGAAGCTACCTCTATCAAGAATAAAATTAAACGAAAACGTATTTGAAATTTTAATTTTAATTTGGTGTGAATTTTGGTTTACAGATTTCATATATTTAATGACAAAAAACTGTTAACTCATTTTCAACATTAAACATTTCCAATATTTCGCTAAAAAAAAAAAAAAAAAGTTAAGTTTTCGCCTATCTGGCGATCAATTACTTCAAGTGCGTTGTTAACTGCTCGAGAAAAGAGGAGGGCATTGCAGACCATCCATTTAGAAAAAAAAATAATTTTCCCCTTTGTAAATATTTTTCAAAAAGATGTACAAAATTTAATGGATTTTAAAGATTATAAAATTATTAAGTAAATTCAGAAAAAAAAAATTATGATGAAACCTACAGTTTCAGAAAAATCGATTTAATGTTCAATCGATTGTTAAATACCGGTAGTGAATCGAGTGATATTTTTGTCCACGTATTACTTCTTTCGAGAAAGATAACTTTCATAATATTTAGTAGTTCGGCCCGACACCGTGTTAAGGTAGCAGTAAATTGGAACAATATTACACTTGGAAGTAACCTAAAAATTTCTAACAATGTTAGACTGCACTGGAAAAATAATTTTAAAAAGAGTTCTAAGTTGAGTTTTTTTATTTTCTACCATTTACCGACAAAATTTGATTTGGCAAATGCTTCCTTAAATTGTAAACAGAAATTAATTACGGAAATTAAGAATAATAATAATAATAATAAATAAATAAATAAATTTAAAAAAAAGAGAGAGACTTATTCAATTTCGTGTGACAATAAGACCTGCAGTTTCTTAATAAAATTTTATAAAAACGTATTCCTTACGTAAAAAATATTTTTTAAAAAATTATATTCTGAAATAAATAGCATAAATTACAGGTTAACAAATATCCATCCAACTACATTATAAAATTTTACTAATTCACCTCATTTCTGATTAAATTGATACATGTTTCCCAACATAATATTTTGATCTCCAAAATGTAATTTATAAATAATTGAATCTAAAAAAATATTTATTCCTATATCATCAAATCATTGTTAAATTTTAAAAATATGTATATTATTATGCAAAATAAGATATTAGATAATTTAAACAAAATTTTAATGAATTTTTTTTTTATAAATTTCAAGAATACTTTTTTATTTTATTTTTTGTTAAATAAGAAATTTAATAAATGTGTTTAAAACTGGAAATAATCATATAATTGAAAAAAATCATGTTTTGAATGCATTTTTTTAAAAATTGAGAAAACAATTTTTTATTTTTTTCCTTGCAAATGAAAAGTATAACACGTACTCTCTGAGAGAAAAAAATCTGATAATATATATAGTATGAAAAAAAATCTGATAATCTGATAATATGAAACTATTTTATTTATCAATAAGTTTTTAATTATTATTCAAAATAAAAATCTTTAAACTATATCTTTCAGCGGATTAAAATAATACAATTTTAAATAACTAAAATTAAATTTTAATTTTAGAATCATGAGAAAAAAATTCAGTTACGTATTTAATTTAATTAATTTTGAATAAAACTCTTTAAATATGCTATAAACATGATTCAAGCTTCAGCGTTCATAATTGCAAAAAGAATATTGCTAATTAACTTCTCAAACTACCCTAAAATCTCCACTTTGGAGAATTTTTATTTATTGTTACAGTTTTTTAGAAAAACTATAAATATATATAAATAAATATTAATAAGTAATTTAATAAATATGGATTGAAAAAACAGGTTCCTGAATGAAGATAAGTTTATTTATGATAAGTAGTACACGAAATTATAAATACATAACAAAATTGTTATCATAAAAATATATATAGGTGTGAAATATTATTTTCGTCTAAATAATAACTGAGCATTATGATTCAAATTATTAATCCAATGAAATCGGAGAGAGAAATACAGTATGAGTTATCTAAAAATTATAAAATATTGTTACGAAAAATTAGCATTAAAAAATAGTTTCGTAACTAAAATTTAATAATTTTATCTTTTGAATTAACATATATATATTATGCATTTATATCATATACTTATTATATATCGTATTCTTATTATGCATTGTGTACTTTATATCGTATACTGAATATACTTAAATCGTATACTGAATATACTTAAATCGTATACTGAATATACTTATATCGTATACTTATTATGTTTATTTATCGTGTACTTATATCGTATGTTTTGCATGGAGACATAAAAATGGGTGAAAAAGACAATAACAATGAGGACTGTGAGCTGTTAGAATTTTCATTCTAAAATTACTTTAAAATAACCGACCGCAGTCTTTCCCTTCTGTTAAACCTTGAAGTTTAAAGTCAAGACCATTTTTTACCTCTACGATTTTGAAACCATTTACAGTTAGTGGGGTTAAAAAACCACGTAAAGCCTTACAAAACCATACAAAACTGCACGGTTTCTTAACTATTTACAACTAGCATGGTTTCAAAATCAAAATCGCAACAAAAATTTATTAGACATTGAAGCTAGGTTCTTAGTTAGGTTGTAATTGAGTTATGCTTTGCAAATGAACCGTAGAATGTGATATACTTAGTTTAGTTGGTTGTTTCACTCATCGCAAGCGATGGGAAATACTGAATTGTTTTGTGTTAAGAAGCTTTATGGTGCTGCCAACTATGCGTGAATGAGAGTATTGTATTCTAACAGTCCAGGGTCACAAATTGTGGAGTGCAGGTTACTGGAAACTCTTCAGATGTTAAAGGAAATGGAAAAAATATTCTGGTGTCAACGCTGGGGCACGAACCCCGGTGCTGTCTGTTATAATATAATGACAGATTAACCCTCTCGTCTATAATATTTACCCAGCTGCAAGAACAAAGTTGTTTCATTATGTGGGACTGGTTGGTGCGATAAAATTCTGGTTGTTTAACAGTATTAGGTAAAAGTTGTTAATAAACGATTTTTCTCAAAGTTAAGAGTTTGAATACCACCTTGGATTTACGGCTACTCAACTGTATTGTTTCACTATTGTAAAATAACAATTAAATAAATTGTTATTTAACCATTTTTTCCGAGAAATTTCTGAAAGTGTTGTGTGGAACGTGGAGGTAACGGAGCAACGCGTTAAAGAATAAATCAGATGTATCACTATTATATAATACAATTTTACAATACAATATTTCAATAATAATACAATACAAAAATGCAATATTTCTGTCGTATATTAAGAATTACTAATGCATAAGGCCATTCAATAACTTAAGTTTTTAAAATCTGAATTTTTTTTAATACGTATAAAAATTTAATTGAAGAAAATACTATTAAAATTGTAAGACTATCTTTAAAACAATCTCTTTACTTTGTTTATCCCTTTGTTATTCAGAAGACATTTGTCACTGCAGTAATGGTAATCAAGCAGAGAAATCGAACATCACATCAACTGATTTCTCCTCTTTTTTTTATCAGTGTAACAATAAAACACAAACGCACATTTAGATGAAAATAAATGTAACTTTGAGTATATTAATGCAGTCGATTTTCATCATTTCGTACTTTTTTCTTGCTATTCTTGGAGCGAAGCAAATATTTGAATAAAAAAAATTTGTTTTCGAATAAATAAATGCCGTATCTGTACATGGATATTATTATTCGATTTTCCCGCCTGAATACCTTTCTTACAGGGGAACAAAATGCATAAGTATGACTCTGAATAAGCTAATAGGTCGGTTCTCAACACTGATTTTCTTCATGGAGAAAAAAAGTATGGTCAAAGCTTTCGGAATATGGTAAAGCATACCGTGTTTCTGGCTCTATGGGAACATCAAAAAGCTTGAAAAATTTTACTGAAGCGCTTTGGTAATGAGTTTGGAAAAATTAAAAATAAAATATGGTTTTATAATGTGTGTAAAAATTTGGTAAATGTGGTAAAATTTGGTATTTTTATCATGATACCTTAGAACATGGAATAAAAATTTTTATTCGGTAAAATTTACTTTTCAGTTTTGTATTTTTTACTAAATGTGCGATGATAAGAATTATAATTTTAAAAACCAGATTGTCCGTAACACCGTTACCATAAAAATTGGAAAATTACCAAATGAATAGTTTAAATACCGCATGTTTTGGGTTCTGCTACCAAAATTATGGTTGTTGTTTTTTTAATCAGAAATGTCATTA